CTCCCATGAGTTCATAATTTTTCGAGTTTCCGAACTTTCCAAAAAGAATGTCTTCCTCTTGCCCGGCCATTTCTCCCGATTGATTACCAAAGGAAGAAGAATCAACTTCACTATCAACTATCCCCGCAAGACCTCCTCCTCTTCAAAGAGCCTTCGCACTTGTCTAAGAGTTTGATCAATCTCGAGATCAACTCGATGTGTAGGTGGCCCTTGTGATCTTCTTTGCATTCAACAACGCTAAGCACATGGTTAGTAATGACAAGCAAAAGGAAAAAAGAAGAAAGTAATTGAATATGACTCTAGGAAACACGAAACAAATGATAAACACGTCGCCTCCCTGGAAACAACGCCAAATTTTGATAAGCTTAGAAATCGTCGTTAAAAGTCCTCCTATCAAATTAATCCTAACTACAAAAGCGAATATTGTAGGAAGTAAGGGTCATATTTCCACGGGGAAGCGAAGCAAATCAATCATTAAATTCATGAATACAAGATCCAATGGATATATCTTTGGTATTTTTTAGGTTTAGACACTAAAAATAACAAATAAACACAATCAACAGGGAATTCACGCAACAAACAAGCGCTGAGGGGTAAGGGGGTCCCAAACATGGCCAACACATCAAAATAATGAGGGAAATCAAGAGGAGATTAGCAAGCCAAGGAATATAAAATTCCACCTAAACAATCTATTCCCATGAAATTGTTCAAGAAAATCGATAATAGAGATCTAATACCTAAATTAAATCACTCCCGTGCATTCAAAATAGGCAACAATTCAAATTAGGGAATTAAAGATGCACTCAATAATCTCGAGCAATTATTAGCACAAATCATCAATTTAAGGCATAATAATCAATCATCAATCATCATCTAGTCAACATCTGTTAGTTGAGATGAACACTATAAGAGGGGGGGGGGTGAATTGTATGTGAGTTCCTAGTGACTACTTTTGATGATTAAAATAGAATATAAAGGAACTTTAGCAAAGGACACAAGATTTTACGAGGAAACCTTCCAGGGCCCAATTGGAAGTAAAACCTCGACCCTCCAAGGGATTTCAACACCAAATCAATCCACTATAATAGGGCAAACTCTCCTAGTTACAACCTATTATAACCAGACCTTTATCACAAGTTCCAGACCAAACTTGCTACGCAGTAGAACTCTATTCTACCTAACCCAAGTCCCCGAATTAGATTCACTTGACACTCCCTGAATGCCACACTCTCGGCTTCAACCTAGAAGCCTACAATCTGTATGCAGTTTTCTTAACACACACACCAAAAAACCAAAACAATGCAAACTCTTTGACTCTAATATGTGACTAGAAAGCTACATATGGAATCCGAAACTAATAAGACAAAGTTTAGACTTGGCAAACTTACACTTTAGAGCTTTCTTCAGATTCTTCACACATAAACTCACAAAGTTGTGCAAATTACGAATTCTACTTTATATACAAGAAGTACTCGTATGTAAAGTAAGGTTTTCAAAAGATAGAAATTATAAAGCTACCATTTTCATAATAACACGTTTTGTGTAAATCTTTTGGGAAGAAAATCTTTTTAGAAAACTTATCAAATATATAATTTATGAAAAGAATATCTTTTTACAAATCCCAATTTTTTAAGATAAAAATCTTTCAAAAATCTTGTCATAAATTAAAAACTTATCTTTTATAAACTTTCCATTTTTAAAGCTTGCCAAGCTTTTTCATGCTTCTAATAAATTCCACGCATAAACTTTCCTAACATATTTACAATAATCCTTAGAAAAAACTTAACATAAACTTATATTCTCTAGCAAGATTGTCTCGTCAATCGTTGTAAGTCAAGGATACTTGGGCTTCACGCAGACCAGGATTAAGTTCCTGTTGTCCTTCATTCTTCAGCTTCTTGCTGAAACTTTACAGGCCAAATTCTTATGGAACTTGCTGTCTTCAACGCAGACCAAGTCAATCTTCTCAACTTGCTGTCAAGTTCCTGTTAGGGAACTTCTCTTAGTGTTCCTGTTAGGGAACTCAATTAGTTCCATTGTGGAACTCTTCTTCTACTTTCTTTAAATTTCCTAAGGATCTCCTTGAGTCTTCATAGTCAAGTTACTCTTCCACTTCCAAAGTCAACTTCACCTGTTTTAATCACAACACTTAGAGAAATCATTAGTTGAAGTTTGCTTTTATTCATCATCATCAAAACTCTTAAGCTTCAACAATTTCCCTCTTTTTGATGATGACAAACTTAGCAAACTTCGAACAGGAAAGTTAAATAGAATAGAAGGGCGTATTTTTGTATTTTTTGAATTTTTTAACTAGAAAATAAAAACACACAAAAACGAAAGCAGATAAAAAAACTTAAACCAAAAACAAACAAAAACGAAGCTAAACTACTTTATACACAATATCAAAGAAACTTCTAATACTTTATCAACTGGAACCCAGAACAACTTCCACTTTCAAGTTTGCTTCCTCTTTTCCCCCTTTGGCATTATGAAAAAGTCCTGCAATCTAAGTTATTAAACATCTAGCCATATCCCCACAAGCAATTCATCGAGTGTGGGAAACTAAAGGCAGCGCTGACTAGCTCCCTTTAGCAAGTCCCTTCACACAATCCTGCACATACTTTCATAACACACAAAGCACACATGTATAGGCAAAGTTCCAAAATAACATAGAAACCAAAAGATCATCCTGTTTAAGCGATTATAGACCAAAGTTTTTCAAAACAAAACAAAATAAAAATTGTTCATGACATAAACATCAAGGAAGAAAAATAGTTAAGGCTAGGCTGAAGGAAGGCTGCAAAGGGAAAGTTCGTTCAGGCTTCTAGGATTCCAAGAATCTTCTTGTTATCCTCCTTGTAAGCTTCAATACTTGCTTCCAGCTTTGCATCTAGACTCTTGATAGTCTTCTGGAACTCCACCTTCTATTCCCTAAGACTCTTCTCAAGACCCTGCACACTCTTTCCAGCTTTTGAACTCTTCCTGTAGCATCTTTGAGTTGTCTCTCAGCAACTTCAACTCTCGGTCAGAGAGTTCAGCAACCTACCCAACCATTGCTTTTGAATTTTCCTCATCAAGTTCCTGTGGCTTCTCCATACTAGTCTGAGGGAAGAAACTAACAGTCAGATTTCTGCTCTTCCTCACAGGCTCACCAGAGTAAGCCCCCTCTTTCTTTTTCCCACTAGTTTCACTCTTTTTCTCCTCCACCCTTTGAAGTTTTCCACCTACAATAGTTAGGCTCAACCCCTGCAGTGCCTTTTCATTGATAACATTCTTTTCCTTCTCTTGCAATCCTCCATAAACTCCCTTGAGTTTCACTCTAAGTGCTTCAAATACAGTAGAGAGTAGAGCACCATAACCTACTTTATTCCTGTTAGGGATGCAGTGGGCTAAGTGTTGATACATCAGAGAGGGAAAGTTTATTTTGATCTTTTTCACCATAAAAAAGATCACTGCTATATCCAACAGACTTGCTTTATCTTTCTTCTAAGTTCTAGGTAGGATAACCTTCTTTACCAAATTAAACAGAAATTTGTTCATAGGACTGAAATTATTGTGATTCATAATGTTAACCCCTCTTTTTCCTCCTAAAAACTCAACTATGTCACCTCCCTAATAATTCCCCACCTTCACACCTGACTTCCCTTTAACATAAGCCTCATAACCCTCTGTAGGAACTTTTCAGAATGTCACTTAACCTCTCAACATCACATTCAATCTCAACATTATTAATTTTGCTAGAAATTATTCCTTCTTTCACTTTGAAATTTTCATAGAATTCGTTCATGGCTAGTGGGTACATGCAATTGTTTGAATATTTAGCAAACATATCTTCCCATCCTTAAAAATGCAATAAATCCAGAAATTCCTTAAACCTAGCTTTTCTACACCAAGTCAAATCTAGTCTATAGCCAATAACATACCTTATAGAATTTTTATCAAGTGACTTTTGATCTTCATCCTCCTCTGCAGACTCTTTCTCTTCCTCCGATTTTAATTCCCCCTCAGCAAAATCTTCGACCTCCTTGATGTGCTATTCAAGTGATTTTTGTTTTCCCTTCTTATCTTTCCACTCCTGTAACCTCTTGAACACATCTGATGAAGACAATACATCATCTCCAATTGAATTCTTTTCCTTAGGGTTTTTCTTAGTGGTTGAGGAAGTAGGGGTGTTTTCTTCTGGAACTACATTGATTTTCTCTTCGTTCTTGTCTGGTTCTTGGTAGATCACCATAGTTAGAGGAGACGTTTCTTCTGGTTCAGAATGTTGTGGGGTTTGAAATTTTTCAGACGAGTTTTTGGATGATTCAATTTCCATGTTTTGGAAGGTTTAGGGGTTTTTAGAGAATTAGATGGTTTTTATTGAGTGCAGTTTATGTGATTTGACAATGGAGAGATAAAGGTGGGTGAAAGATGCTTTTATAATTAATGAAGCGGTGTGAGGGATATGAATAAACTTACTGTTCAGTCATTAATTGAACAAATTCAATTGATTTTCCAAAAAGTAATCAGGATGAATTTTTAACAAAATCTTTTCTTTCTAAATTCAATTAATTTTCACAAATAAGATTTTCTAAAAATTAGATGTATTTGGAACACGCTTTCTACACATATATAATGTACATTACTAATTATACACGCATTCAAGTGTTAGTGAACTAATCTCCAAGAATTCACCAACGGTGACACTTCAGCTATGTTTAGCACACCAAGGTTGTGCTAGATGTCCTTTTTGCTCTTTTCACAGTGTTCCTGACTTTGCCATATCTTGGAACTTCAGAAGCAATCAAGTCTTCTTGATCATCCCAAGGTCCAATCTCAATTACTCAAATCTTTCTCTATTCAAGGGCTTGGTTAGAATATTTGCAATTTGATTCTCAGTTTGACAAAATTCTAACTTAATATTCCCTTATTCCAAATTATCTTTTAGAAAGTGATGCCCAATGTGGATGTGCTTGATCTTTGAGTGTTGAACTGGATCTTTAGAAATACATATAGCACTAGTAATTGTCACAGTAAATAGGAACAAACTCAAATAAAATACCAAAATCTCTAACTTGTAGCATTATCCATAACATTTGAGAACAACATGCTATTGCAGCTACATATTCAGTTTCAGCTGTAGATAATGCAACTGTGTTTTTTTTCTTGGAACCCCAAAATATTAAACACGGTCCTAAAAACTGTACCATACTTGAAGTGCTCTTTCTATTAACCAAGTCACCTGCATAGTCAGCGTTAGTAAAACCATTTAACTCAAATGAGTCACTTCTAGGATAGAAGAGACACAAATCATCAGTTCCTTTTAAGTAACGAAGGATCCTTTTTACTACTATCAGGTGAGACTCCTTGGGTTTGCTTGGAACCTGGCACATAAACCTACACTAAAAGATATGTCAGGTCTACTGGCTGGTAAGTAAAGTAGAGATCCAATCATATATCGGTACATATTCTGATCTATGTAAGTTCCAGATAGGTCTTCATTAAGCTTTGTTGCAACACCCATAGGGGTCCTATTGGTCTTAGAATTTTCAAGCTTATATTTCTTGATCAGTTCTTTAATATACTTCTGTTGATGAATCATGATCCCTTCTTCAGTTTGCTTCATTTGAAAACCAAGAAAGAAATTTAACTCACCCATCATGTTCATTTCAAAATCTCCACCCATGAGGTCAACAAAATACTTACACAAAGATTCGTTAGTTGCACCAAATAATATATAATCAACATAAATCTATAAAACTAAGATGTCAGTTCCATTTGATTTTAAAAACAAAGTTTTATCAATTTTACCACGTTTAAAACCATTATTCAAATGGAACTTGGACATCTTTCGTACCATGCTCTAGGAGCTTGCTTTAGTCCTTAGAGGGCTTTGTCAAGCTTGTAAACATGGTTTGGGAACTCTGGATTTTCAAATCTAGGAGGTTGTTCCACATAGATGCTTCCTTAAGAAATCCATTTAAAAATGCACATTTGACGTCCATCTGGTACAACCTAAATCTCATATAAGCAGCAAAAGCTATAAGTAAACGAATGGCTTCTAACCTTGCTACTAGAGCAAATGTCTCATCACAGTCAATTCTTCTTGTTGATTGAACCTTGAACTACCAGTCTTTCTTTGTTTCCAACAATAATATCATGCTCATCTTGTTTGTTTCTGTATACCCATTTGAGACCTATAGTCTTTTGATGACTGCGTCTAGGTTCCATATGCCAAACTTTGTTTCTTTCGAACTCATTCAATTCTGCCTGCATAGCATTAATCCAATTTGCATCTGTCAAGGCTTAAACATGGTTCTTAGGTTCCATGAAGGATAGGAATGCATAGATTGCACAGAAGTTCCTAAGTTATGCTCTAGTCTGAGTTCCTTTGGCAATGCCGCTTATGATTGTATCCACTGGATGAGAAATTTGATATTTCCAAGACTTGGGTTTAAAGTCTCTGATGGGATACAACCTCTCTTGTGTAGCATTGTTGATTGGCACTTTTGTTGGAACTCCTCCTTGAGCTTCATTCTGAACTTCTTCAGGAACTTCCACTAGCTCTTGAATCTGGAGTGGAGTTCCTTGTGCTTCCTGATTCGTTTCACCTTCCATTTCAGAATGATACTTCTGCAATGATGTAGATTCCTAATCTAGATCATACTAGCGTACAAGTCCAATTTCAAAATCATCATCACCTTCCTGTACATTAATCAATCGTTCAGTTTCATCAAATATAACATGTACAAACTCTTCAACACACATTGTTCTTTTCTTATAGACTCTATAAGCTTTACTGTTTGAGGCATATCCTAAGAATACAGCCTCATCACTTTGTTCATCAAGCTTTGCCAAGTTTCTTTTACCATTATTATGAACAAAACATCTACAACCAAAAGATCTAAAGTAAGAAATATTAGGCTTTGTCCCTTTAATGAGTTCATATGGTGTCTTGCTGGTGATGACTCTAACTGTAACTCTATTTATTATATAGCATGTTGTATTCACCACTTCTGCCCAGAAGTTCCTAGGCAAACCGCTTGAAATTAGTATTGTCCTAGCCATATCCTCAAGGCTTCTATTCTTGCGTTCCACCACTCCATTTTGCTGTGGTGTTCTTGGGGCAGAGAAGTTGTGATCCATTCCATGTTTTTTTGCAGAATTTATCAAACTTGTATTTTTCAAATTCTGTTCCATGATCTGATCTGAGATGCATTAATTGATTACCTTTTCTTCTCTTTTCTTTCTTCATAAATGCAACAAACTCATAAAACGTTTCATCTTTGCTAACAAGAACGAAAACCCATGTAAACCTTGAGAAATCATCAACTATTACCATAACATACGTCTTACCACTTCTTCTTTGGATTCTCATTGGACCACAGAGATCCATATGAATGAGTTCCAAAGGTCTTTTGGTGCTTACCGTAATTTTAGATTTAAAAGAGACACGAGTCTATTTTCCTATAACACATGCATGACAAACTTTATCATTTAGGAAATTTATAAAAGGAAGACCTTCCACAAGTTCCTTAGATCTAAGCTTATCAAGTAAAGAGAAACTTACATGACCAAATTTCTTATGCCATAGCTGAGGATCATCCTCAATGACACTAAGACATGTCAAAAAACTATTTGGAACTTCGTTAAAATCCACTGTATAAGTGTTCCCTTTGCGAGTTCCTTCCAATATAATGTTCCCAGTGTCGTTGTTGATGATTCTACACGAGTTTGAAGTAAAGCTAACTGAGTTACCTTTGTCACAGAATTGTGAAATACTTAACAAGTTATGTTTCAAACCCTCGACCAAAAATTCATTATCAATAGCATGGGAACTTGACCTTCCTACTTTTCCAATGGAAATAATGTCACCTTTCATGTTATCTCTAAAGGTCACAGTCCCACCATAGTAAGCGTCCATTGAGAGAAATCTTGATTTATCCCCAGTCATGTGCTTAGAACAACCGCTGTCGAGGTACCATGTGTTGTTCCATCCCATTGGAACCAGCATGAAAAATCAAACGTTAGGGTCAGGAACCCAGGTCTCCTTCGGCTCTTGTGTAACAGATGAAGAATAAAATTTCCTAACCCATATATGTCAAACATGATTTTCAATTTTGAGAGTGCTCTTTTCTTTCTTAGGACATTTGTTTTGGTTATATCCTATCTTACCATAGAAATAACTGACATTACTACTTGGCAAACCAACATACTTCTTTTTTTTCTGGTACTTCTTCTTGTATCCTAGACCTTCGGTTGTTTTGGCTTGAGCATTAGAAATCCACTCAGGTATAGTGTACTCTATGGGTTGCTTACCTTTCTTAGCTCTTTCAAGTCCCCCCCTCAATTCTTGCTTTATCCACTTTCAATTCTTCTAAATAAAATTTTGATTTTTTAAAATTTGGATATTGATCAAGAAGAGGAACTTAAGAGTTAGGAATGGCACCACTAAGTTTTAACAACGAAAGTTCCACATTCATAAGTATGTTATCATGTTTTAATCGTTCAACAGTTTCTTTTAACCTAACATTATCATCAAACAAATTAAATAATCTTTGTTGAAAATCAAGTTTCATATTATCTATCCATTCACTGTGTTCTTTGTAAGTATTAAGTGCCTTATTACTTTGTGCTTTTTCAACATAAAGATCCATTAAATCGCCTTGAACTTCTAAAACAGTATCAATTAATTTTTCTTTAGAGAAATGTCTTAATTCATTAGAAGTAAACCATACCTCAGCCTCATATGCCTGAAGTCTGGCCTTTTCATCGCTTTTGGCCATTAGACACAAATGTGCTGATTCTTCCAAAGGTTGTTCTTCTTCTTCTTCTGACTTCGAGTCTCCCCAGGCAGCTATCATAGCCTTTCTTACATTCTCCTTTGAGAAGGATGGCTTGTAGGCTTTGGACTCCTTAAATTGGTCCTTGCCTTTGACCTCTGATCTATTATTTTCCTTTAGAGGATAGTCTCTAATAAAGTGATCTTTTGAACCACACTTGAAACAAGTAGTCTCTTTAGAACTTGAAAATTTCTTGTTACCATCATACTTCCTGTTACCCATCATTTTCTTGAATCTCGTCACCAGCATGTCCATTTCATCTTCATCAACTTCAGATTCATCTGAGTCTTGAGCTTTTAGTGCAAGACTCTTGTTCTTGGAACTTTCAGCATTGGAACCTAAGTGAAGTTCATGAGTCATCAATGATCCAGCCAGCTGTTCCATGTTGAACTTTGTGAAGTCCTTGGTTTCTTGCAATGCAGTCACCTTAGACCTCCCGCGTTCATCTTGGTTTCTTATCACCTTTTGAGCCTGTTCATCTATTGGAATATGCCTGCCAAGGGAACCTAGCTCATTAATTATATCATTATATCTAGTAAACATTTCTTCTATGGTTTCCTTAGGTAGAATTTCGAATCTTTCATATTTAGACATCAATAAGTCAATTTTAGAACGTTTTACCACGTTTGTACCTTCATGAGTAACTTTAAGTAGATCCCATATATTCTTAGCAGACTTGCATCCCATGATTCTGTTGTGCTCATGGGGTCCAAGTCCACAGTGTAACAATTTAATAGCTAAAGCATTCAATTCATATTTTTGAAAATCCTCTTTTTCAAAATCAAATAAAGGTTTAGGAACTACCTCGTTTTTCTCATTAGTTTTGGTTACCTAAAAATAACCATACTCAATAACAAGCCAAACCTGATAATTTTCAGACTTGATGAATATCTCCATCCTGTTCTTCCATTAGGTATAGAACTTACCATTGAACATAGGTGGACGTTGGGTTGAGTACCCTTCCTCAAGCTTCTCTCGATAATTCATCTCCCCTCAGGAGCTTACTCATCAAAGTTATTTGCTTATACGCGAGAACTAGAGCTCTTATACCAATTGTTAGTTGAGACGAACACTACAAGAGGGAGGGGTGAATTGTATGTGAGTTCCTAGTGACTAATTTTGCAGAATTAATACAGAATATGAAGGAACTTTAGCAAAGCACACAAGATTTTACGAGGAAACCTTCCAGGGCCCAAATGGAAGTAAAACCTCGACCCTCTAATGGATTTCAAACACCAAATCAATCCACTATAATAGGGCAAACTCTCCTAGTTACAACCTATTATAACCAGACCTTTCTCACAAGTTCTAGACCGAACTTGATACACAGTAGAACTCTATTCTACCTAATCTAAGTCCCCGACTTAGATTCACTCGACACTCCCTGAATGCCACACTCTCGGCTTCAAGCTAGAACCTATAATCTGTATGCAGTTTTCTTAACACACGCACACCAAAAAACCAAAACAATATAAACTCTTTGACTCTAATATGTGACTGGAAAGCTACACATGGAATCTGAAACTAATATGAGAAAGTTTAGACTTGGCAAACTTACACTTTAGGAGCTCTCTTCAGATTCTTCACGCATAAACTCACAAAGTTGTGCAAATTACGAATTCTACTTTATACACAAGAAGTACTCGTATGTAAAGTAAGGTTTTCAAAAGATAGAAGTTATAAAGCTACCATTTTCATAATAACACGTTTTATGTAAATCTTTAAGGAAGAAAATCTTTTTAGGAAACTTATCAAAGATATAATTTATGAAAAGAATATCTTTTTGTAAAATCGGATTTTATAAGATAAAAATATTTCAAAAATCTTTTCATAAATTAAAAAC